AAAATCTTCTCTCGTGGCGTGGGAACCCAACTAATGCTGACGTCTTCAATGGGGAAAGTCGCACAAAAGGAGCAGATCTACGAGCAAGCCAGACTGTTGCTCAACGACTCAGAGCATGCAACCTTGAACTATTACCTCTCGGAATACGAAAAGAAGACGATTAACATCCGGGGCATGGCGCATGCGTTGTTGGAATTGCTAAATACACCAGCAAAGGTGGGTTTACTTCCGGATTGAACTTGCAGAATAGGCAGGGAATTGGAGGTCATATATTTAGTTACTGTTTCCCTTTGTTTGATTTTGATTTCCCTACTGTATTCCCCCCACCCCCCCCCCCTTTTTTTTAGCTGTTGTAATTTGTTTTTCTTTCTTTGTTGTTGCTGTTATTGGTTTCTTTCAATTCTTTCTTTATTCCTTCTTTCTGCTCTTGCTGATTTTAGTCTTACGTTCCTTTTTCTCTTCGATTCTTTCTTTCTTTCCATGTCTAATAATATTTTATCTGTACATTTCCTGATTCCACGACTTCTTCACTTTCTTCTCAGTATTCTGTATCTCTTCTTGTATTTCTTCTTTTTAACTTCTAACTTTTTTGTTTTGTTATGTTCTCCATTCCAGAGAAGCGCCCTGTGCGCGCGTGCTCTCTCTCTCTCTCTCTCCCCCCCCCCTCTCTCTCTCTCTCTCTCTCTCTCTCTCTCTCTCCTTTATCCCTAACTGTCTGCGAGGCTACCTATCCTTACCTACTGATCTGCGCGCCTACATCTGTGATCCCCCCAAAATTAAGCTCGCTCTATATCTTATACCCCTTTCATTTCTCTACCTCAGTCTGCGTCAGTCTAGGTCAATCCTTTCACAGACGAACATGCGCGGCAAACATGACGAATCTGTAAGCACGTTATTGATGCTGAGTAACTGTGCGTGTGTCTGTGTATATGTGTGTGAGTTTGTGTGTGTGTGTGTGTGTGAGAGAGAGAGTGAGAGAGAGAGAGAGAGAGAGAGAGAGAGAGAGAGATACGGGTTACTCAAACTGCAAGTGTTGGACATTAATCAGAGAACTAGGTTCACAGCACTGACGCATAGATACAGGGCCACCTCGGTTCACGAACGTAATTCGTTTTTTCACTCGTTCGCCTACTGAAATGTTAGCAAACCGAAACAATTTTTCGCCTTTAAGTTAATGCAAATCCGATTAATCCATTCGTCCAAGCGCAAACCTGAGTACAAGTGATGCTGTTCTCCAACCGAAAACCTGGCGCCAAAGCCACTTTATACGCCGAGGCACTGTTAGTGGGTCAGGTTCCAACTTTGTTGGCAAATTATGTTCGCCAATTTGTTCCTGACTAGAGACAATCGTGACCCGGACATCACTTTACTAAATGAACTCTAACATACATATATTTTGACAGCTGACGCTGATGTCGGAAATCAGAGCTACCGTGCGCCCTGCAGACCTGGCCACTTTTGATCAGCTCATAGCCAAGAGTGATCTAGAGAAGTCGTTGGTATGTCTGACCATGTTTGGATTATTTATTGTATTACCGTTTGTCGTGCTGAGAAACTGGTGAGGAAAGGAGCGATTCAGGAGACAGCATATTCACCTCTGGTCCCAGCAGACCTGGTTAGGTTTACAATGTAAACTGTACAAAGGACAGAAGAAGAAGAAGAAGAAGAAGAAGAAGAAGAAGAAGAAGAACAAGAAGAAGAAGAAGAAGAAGAAGAAGAAGAAAGAAAGAAAGAAAGAAAGAAAGAAAGAAAGAAAGAAAGAAAGAAGAAAGAAAGAAGAAGAAAGAAAGAAAGAAAGAAAGAAAGAAAGAAGAAAGAAAGAAGAAAAGAAGAAAAGAAAGAAAGAAAGAAAGAAAGAAAGAAAAAGAAAGAAAGAAAGAAAGAAAGAAAGAAAAGAAAGAAAGAAAGAAAGAAAGAAAGAAAGAAAGAAAGAAAGAAAGAAAAAGAAAGAAAGAAAGAAAGAAAGAAAGAAAGAAGAAAGAAAGAAAGAAAGAAAGAAAGAAGAAAGAAAAGAAAAAAAAAAAAAAAAGAAGAGAAGAAAAGAAAAAAAAAAAAAAGAAAGAAAGAAAGAAAGAAAAAGAAAGAAAGAAAGAAAGAAAGAAAGAAAAAAAAGAAAGAAAGAAAGAAAAAGAAAGAAAGAAAGAAAGAAAGAAAAAAGAAAGAAAAAGAAAAGAAAGAAAGAAAAAAAAAGAAAGAAAGAAAGAAAGAAAGAAAAGAAAAAAAGAAAGAAAGAAAGAAAGAAAGAAAGAAAGAAAGAAAGAAAGAAAGAAAGAAAGAAAGAAAGAAAGAAAGAAAGAAAGAAAGAAAGAAAGAAAGAAAGAAAGAAAGAAAGAAAGAAAGAAAGAAGAAGAAAACGAGTAAAAAGAAAGAAAATGAAGAACAAAATGAAGAAGAAGAAGAAGAAAGAGACGGAGGAGAAGAAGAAGAAAGAAAGAGCAGAAAGAAGAGGAGAAGGAGAAGGAGAGGATAAGGAAGTAAAAGAGGGGATGGCAGGAAAAAGGGTAGTGATCGATGAGGTTGATAAGGGGGGGGGGGGGGGGGGGCCGAAGAAGAAGAAGATGATGATATAAATGAAATGATTTTCCTTACAAAACATAAATGTAACTTCTTTCTTGAACACTTTGTCTATACTTCCAGAATCAAGCCCGGAAGCTGCTAGCACCGGATATGATCTCCTTGAGCTCGTTCGACAGCGAAGACGTCATAGACATGGAGAAATACAAACGGACTATGTTCTCACATCCGGTGTGTGTTTTGTTGTTGCTATATCTTTCAACAGCCCTGTGTTCTGTCTTTTAAAACACTGTCCCATGTCACGTAGCAAATGAAACAGGCGCTGAAATATGAAACAAATGGACTAAGTTTACCTAGGTGGCAAAATTTTTCAAGTGGGGATTATCACGGACCACAGCGCAAACATAGAGAACAACTAAGGCAATTATTAATAAACTTTAAAAAATTAACTAACTGATGCTTGCGCAGAATAGAAGGAATTAAATGCTGTGATAGAATTCTATGAAAAGACTCTGGCGTTTAATAGGACACACGATGAGGAAACCTGAGAATAATATAACTAGAATGTCCTTGCACTGGAACCCGCAGGGATATAGAAATAAGGGAAGACCCAAAAAACACAGTAAGAAGGAAGCTAAAGAGTTAAGTTAAACAGATTGGGGGGGGGGCACAGGGAGAGCTGTATGCGATAGCGAAGGATAGAACGATTTCGCATGAGTTTGTTGAGCGCCTTTGCTCCATTGGGGATTAGAAAGGTAGAAGGGGGAAGGCAAAGGCCTCAGCCCTAGCACAGAAAGATCACTAATACAATACAACTGGCACTGATCTGTAGGCCACTTGCTATGTTTCCACGAACCTAATGAGGCCCACGGGCCGTCACTAAACAGTTCTAGACGTAACTGGGTAAAATTTACACGTGCACGTGTCATTGAAATAAACGGAAGAAGAACGTGTGGCAAACCATTTCGCCTCAGAGACTCCATAAAAAGTTCTTGTGTAGTTTAATGTTTAATTAGAATCGACATCACAGCACTCAAAACACTTCTATAAGCGCTCCGTTCCCATATTCAGCAGCAAGCGCAGAGTTCTAATTTCAATCGTACTAATAGCAGTCTGTATACCTGTCTCAACTGCTGTATATTGTGGAGATGGAGAGTGCTAAGAAAGGACTTTAATTGAATATTAAGAAAATGGAAGTAAATGTTAATAAATAATGATTAAAAGAAGAAGATAACTTCACATTTTGATAACTCAATTAAAGGAAAAAGACTTAACCAAGTCAATAAATTCAAATATCTAGAAACAATCATATCATCAGATGGAAAATGTGTGACAGAGAATAAAAGCAGAATAGGTCAAGCGAAGATGCATTTCAGAAAAGGAAAAATATCTTATGCAATAAATCACTCTCATTTAATGTCAGAAAGAGAGTGCTAAAATGTTATATAGAACTTGTTCTGCGGTATGGCAGCGAATTTTGGAATGTCACTGAACAAATTAGGAAGAATTTGGAAGCAAAAGAGTTGTGGTTTCTGAGACAAATGTTACGAATACCTTGGACAGCCAGAGTAACTAGCAACGATTGCTTGAAAGAAGCTACTGAAAGTAGATCTCTATATACAACAATAAGAAAGAGACAAAAACTGTTCTTTGGCCTCATACTGAGAAGAGAGACATTGAAGAACATCACGACAACTGGAAAGATCAGTTGAAACAGAGGCAGACCAAGAGAGATGATGATGGATGGGCTGAAACTATGGCATGGTGGGATATCATCAAGAGAGCTGTTCCAGACAACCAGGGAACGTGATCTGTGGAGACGCATGAGCGCCTATGCCAGTTGGCAGTGCACATGATGATGATGATGATACCGTCTCACATTTCCCTTGAGTGCTGATTGTCGAAGGAACCTCTCATCACTCCTCGCAGTACCATTCTTTTCGGATTATGATGATCCATCTATACTTCCACATTGTTAACTCGCCCCTAAAAAGCGCTTGCATCTGGCTTTAACTGGATTGTGCGCAAAAGATAATGACATTCTTTTTCTTTTTCTTCTCTTCCACCTTGTACCTCATCGAAGTGTCGAGAGGAGATGTAATGTTCGTCGATGAGCTCTGTCAAGAGCACTATTAAGACTGATGTTCATTTCTGTAAGGCTGTTCTTAATGCCATCACTCCATATTTTCCGAGGTCTTCCACTCGCTCTATACCCGTTGTAACGTTTTAGTGTGGCTCTCTGTGGCAGATAGTACCAGGGAATTCTTGTTAAGTGTCCAAACCACTTTATTTGTTGTTCTTTGATGACCTGTATCTAGGCTTTATTCCTAGCATTTGTCTGATTTCGTGATTTCGTATTCTGTCTTTCCTTGAAACTCCTGCAGCTCTTCTAAGGCATTTCATCTCTGTTGTCACAATTTTACGTTCATTGGAGGATCTAAGTGTCCACGTTTGGCATTGATAGCATAGTGTTGGCCCAAAAAAAAAAAACTCCGAGGTATCTGCTTGTGTGTCAACAGGGAAGATAGTTATATACATAATGACATTGGATAACTTAAAAAGGAGGGTTGCGGCAGCCGAATGATGATTTAATTAAAAGTGTTCACGACTGTCGGATGAATGAATGAATGAAGCAAGCAGTCAATCAATCAATCAATCAATCAATCAATCAATGAAGAATTAAAAGTAAAAAATAAAGGTAAAGTCGGGAGATGTGAACCAGCGTCATTGCACACGGTTATAAACCATAAGTGCTCTGCCACAGTACAGACAGCTGATAAGAAACTGTCCGTCTGTGTCGCCGTCGGCACGTAATTCCGCAGCTACAGCGACGTTCCTCCATTTACCCCAGAGTGTTTACTTCAACTCTGGTACCCATTTCCTAGAGGCTGGGTGAACCTCGGAAACCGTCTGGTTTCGAACACTGGCCGTGGGCTGCAGCGAGTCGCAGCTGGATTTGAAAGCGAGTCTCCTATCGACTGCGCTAACGCGGCCATCCTTATCATTCAATCAAACAAGAATTGACAGAACTGAATCCTAGAAATTCACACATGATCTCTGTCCCCTTCTTCCAGTCGACATGGTAATAGTGCCAGTTGCAACCTGACTTCTTTTTCTTGTTCACCAGCTGTAAACTCTGGCGGAAAGTTATAGAACCTGAGTGTTGCGTCTGCATCCGTTTTACAGATTGGGCTCATTTGTATGCAGACTGTTGGCTCCTAGCCTCTTATGCAGGTGTTCTTCGACGGAAGATACCAATCAGTCGACTCTTACGACATGCTTTTGGGAAGGCAGTGGGCCTGTTCTTGTTTTCCCCCGCAATGGGGCCCGGAAACCACACATTACGATTGCACAGTTCAATTATACACATATGATTACTATCATCTTTCTTATCATGTGTTTTCCTTTTTGCAAACAGAGAAGTGACTTACTCAAATCACAGCCAATGGACATCCTGCACTTTGATGATAGCGCAGAAATGGACTCGGACAGTTACGACTTGGTAAGCAACACACACATGCACACACACGCGCGCGCGTACACGTACAACACACAAACACCACACATATCTCATAGTCGTACACACTCACTATCATATTCCGCAAGCTTCACTGGGAAGGTCACGGGTAGTGAGCATACTAAGGATCGTTTCTCCAGGCGATGCCGGCGTGGTGGGTAATGAACAGGCAGACAGGTAGGCTGGATCTGTACCGCTGGGTGGTGAACTGATACATGACAAGGCAGATGTGGTCAAGGCCCTTTGGGAACAAGCAACGGAATCAGTAGAGAGAGAAGATTATTATGGCCTGGAGAGAATGAGGCATCTGGGTGTAACCAGAGGGTGTGGCTGGCTCAGTACACCCAAAGGAAAGGCAAGACGGACATATAACCAGATTGCGACCGGTATGTCAGTATTGGAACTCTGCGCTGGATGCTGAAGATGAGGACGGGGCATGCATGGGAATGAACCGAGTGTTGTGATGTCAATTCTTGACTCAACTTGCATTTTCCATGTCAGTTGTGATTTTAGATTATTTTAGTGCAGTTTGTTGGCTTTGTTTATTTTTTGGACTTGAAAAAAAAAGGGAACTGGGGGGGGGGGGGGGGGGGGGGGGGGGGGGGGGGGGGGGGGGGGGGGGGGGTGAACCTATTGACCGGTAACAAGCCTATCGTAAAAGGCAATTAAAAAGGAGTTTTTCTTTCAAAGTTCAGTGCATCTGTTTGGGAGCCGAGAAACCAATAGCATGCACACATAAGCCAGACATGTAAAACGATTGTGTACGCAAAACTCAGTCTGGAGCAACTCTAATGAGATGGAACTCTATATTTTTATTATTATTATTATTATTATTATTATTATCATCATTACCATCATCATCTCCTTTCTTTTTCTTCTTCTTCTTCTTCTTCTTCTTCTTCTTCTTCTTCTTCTTCTTCTTCTTCTTCTTCTTCTTCTTCTTCTTCTTCTTCTTCTTCTTCTTCTTCTTCTTCTTCTTCTTCTTCTTCTTCTTCTTCTTCTTCTTCTGCGGCTGCTGCTACGGCGGCTGCTGCTGCCTCTCCTGTTTCTACTTCTTCTTCTTCTTCTTTATCATCATCATCGTCACCATCAGGATTATCATCACAATCACATTTTTCTTCTTTTTCTCCTTCTCTACCTTCTCCCCCTTCTTAGCATTAACCAGCTGCAAACTTCAGCGGAAATTTCTTATTGTCCACTTCTGGGATTCTGTCTTGTTGCGTGCACAGACTCGGCTGTTAAGAAGTTTTTGGACCTTCCTTTTATTATTCCCCCCCCCCCCCCCCCCCAACCCCCGCTGCTATTTTTCTCATTAACTGTATATCCTAAATGAATCCTTTGACAGAGGTGGGGATCTGAAGTGGCCGATCGGCTAGAACGCTGGGCTCTCAAGCGGGAGACTCGGGTTCAAATCCTCTGTAAGGCTGGGGATTTTTTCTGTCAGGGGCACAAAAAAAATCCCTCACCTGCAACAGCAGTAGCCATGCGGCCGTAAATCGTCAGGCTCAAAGACGCCCCCCCCCCCCCCCCCAACAACCCTCCCCCCCAACCCTAAGTGGTAAAATAAAGACAGTAATTGGCAAGTTTTTGGAGACCTGAAGACAACTTATCACAAACAACAGAAGGAGACAGTCATTATTTTCTTTGGTCGTGTTATGAGAAGATGGAAAATGGCTCACGTGATCGTTGGAAAGATTTGTGGAAAGAGAGACAAGGGAAGAAAACATGAGAAGATTCTTAACAACCCTGTGTCGTAGCATGGGGAAAGTTGTGGCAGAGGGAGGAAGTAAAATGGGAGTGACGGGTTGGATGGTTGTGTATGCAAATGAACTGACAGAGAATGTTAGAGATTGCAAGTTGTAGAGAGGCATGATCGAACATGCCAGTCGGCAAGGTATTTGATGATGATGATATTTTATCAATTTTCAGTTGGAGACGTCTCAGAGATTGAGCAGGTCGACACCAAATCTGACCAACATCGGTCAAACGTATAATTCCCAAGAGCAGACGACATCTAGGCGAAGGTCACGGTCTCCATGGGCTGTGTTTTCGACCAACCGGAAGTCTAAATCTAAAGAGGCTCTTTGGAACACGGATTCAAGGGCGGAAATTGGCAACTCTGAGGCAGATTTCATCAAAACAAAGGTCTAGTTTTGCCTCTTTAACTGTATATTTATATCAAAGTACAATACATAAACTGTGATGTAGCGGCTTGATGCTCGCCTTGGATGCGAGCTGGATTTTTCTTTTTTTTTCCTTCTAAAAATGACCTTAACTCCCAAGTCGACCCAGCCTGAGTACTAGGTAAAGTCATGGAAAGTAAAGGCAACCAGCGGTTGACTTGTCTGTAAAAACCACTTCAGGTCTCGCCCTATATGCCTAATGAGACTAAGGGTCCATTGCTGCGTTCGTACCTAAAGGGGCGGTAGCTTGTTTTGTGGTTTACACCCATCTGTGCCTTTCCTAGCAACACATCCAATTTCCGACAAATCTCTATTAGTGGCCCTTAACGACATGCTTGCTAAGGGGCAGTGGATATGTTCATCCCATTCCCCCCCCCCCTCGCCACCCCCTCCATGGGACCATGGAACCCACACGCGGAATAACACATAACTACGAGAATTATTATTGGTTATAATGGACAGGCAGAAACAGGAATGAAGTAGCCCTTGAAGAAATAGACGACGAAGGCCAACTGAAGAAACAAGACACAAACAGTCAAGATATTATTTAGAGAGTAGACGGTAGTTATCTTGCATTGGGAGTTAGACGTAGATGGTAGAGATCTTGTCTGCAGAATTAGACGTAGATAGTAAAGATCTTGTATGCATAATTGGACGTAGATGGCAGAGATCTTGTATGACGAATTGGACGTAGATGGTAGAGATCTTGTCTGCAGAATTGAACGTAGATGGTAGAGATCTTGTATGCAGAATTGGACGTAGATGGTAGAGATCTTGTATGCAGAATTGGACGTAGATGGCAGAGATCTTGTATGACGAATTGGACGTAGATGGTAGAGATCTTGTATGACGAATTGGACGTAGATGGTAGAGATCTTGTATGCAGAATTGGACGTAGATGGTAGAGATCTTGTATGCAGAATTGGACATAGATGGCATTGTATGCAGTATTAGACGTAGATGGTAGAGATCTTGTATGCAGAATTAGACGTAGATGGTAGAGATCTTGTATGCAGAATTGGACGTAGATGGCAGAGATCTTGTTTGCTGAATTGGACGTAGACATTGGAAGTCGTGTATAGAGAATTAGACGTAGACATTAGAGATCTTGTATGCAGAATAAGTCGAAGACGATAAAGATCTTGTAAGCAGAATTAGACACAGACAGTAGAGATATTGTACACAGAATTAAACGTAGACATTAGAGATCTTGTATGCAGAATAAGTCGAAGACGATAAAGATCTTGTAGGCAGAATTAGACACAGACAGTAGAGATATTGTACACAGAATTAGACGTAGACATTAGAGATCTTGTATGCAGAATAAGTCGAAGACGATAAAGATCTTGTAGGCAGAATTAGACACAGACAGTAGAGATATTGTACACAGAATTAAACGTAGACAGTCGAGATCTTGACCGCTCAAACTCGAGTGTTTTAAACAGCCCAATCTAGTTTATATTCAATCTGACCGATCATTCTACCTTATATCCTCTCACCTATCGTTTGGCTTAATCATACTTCTCTTTCTCTCTCTCTCTCTCTCTCTCTCTCTCTCTTTCTCTCTCTCTCTCTCTCTCTCTCTCTCTCTCTCTCTCTCTCTCTCTCGCTCCTCTCTCTCTCTTACTGACCACTCAGACTTAGAAGTCCCTTAACTGACACTAAGTCCCAGAAGTCCACTCACTGATCACTCAGTCTCAGAACTCCCTTAACTGACCACTCAGTCTCACAAGTCTCTTCACTGACCACTCAGTCTCACAAGTCCCTTAACTGATCACTTAGAAGTTCATTCATTGACCACTCAGCTTCAGAAGTCCCTTCACTGACCACTCAGTCTTACAAGTCCTTTCACTGACCACTCAGTCTCACAGGTCTTTTCACTGACCACTCAGTCTCACAAGCACCTTCCCTGACCACTCAGTCTCACAAGTCCCATCACTGACCACTCAGAAGTCCATTCACTGACCACTCAGTCTCACAAGTCCTTTCACTGACCACTCAGTCTCACAAGTATTTTCACTGACCACTCAGTCTCACAAGTACCTTCCCTGACCACTCAGTCTCACAAGTCCCTTCACTGACCACTCAGAAGTCTATTCACTGACCACTCAGCTTCAGAAGTCCCTTCAGTGACCACTCAGTCTCACAAGTCCCTTCACTGACCACTCAGTCTCACAAGTCCCTTCACTGACCACTCAATCTAAGAAGTCCCTTCACTGACCACTTAGTCTCACAAGTCCCTTCACTGACCACTCAATCTAAGAAGTCCCTTTATTGACCACTTTATCTTAAAAAAAAACATTTTATTGTCTGTCCGATTTAACCCCTTACTGACCACCAAATGGCACATGTACTTCCCTCTCTCTCTCTCCCTCTCTCTCTCCCTCTCTCTCTCTCTCTCTTTCTCTCTCTCTCTCTCTCTCTCTCTCTCTCTCTCTCTCTCTCTCTCCCTCAGATGGCTTCCCAGTGACAAATCTACTTCCAAATTTACCCCACTGCCCAGAGTCTCTCCCTCTCCATCTCCCTCTCTCACTCAGTCTCAGACGTTCCCCCATACTGACCACTCTACCTCCAACTTCCTCTCACAACTCGGAGTCGCACACTCTCTCCCTCTCTGACTCTCTCTTGCTCTCTCTCTCTCTCTCTCTCTCTCTCTCTGATCCCTCACTGGGTCTTAAAAGTCCCCATACTGACCAGTCTACCTCCAACCTCCTCCCACTGACCAACAGATGGACTACCCTAGCGATGACAGCGGGGTGGAGATCAACGGTCATGCGCAGAAGGACTCGCAGTCAGCGTCACATTCGGTCAAATCTAGCCAAACGTTTCCTCACAATTCATCACGTGTACAAACGTCATGGGTAACTTTCACTAAAATCAAATCTATCCATGTCCTCAAAACGTATTCATGTAACCAGTCTGTCTATATCCGGTACAAGTTTGCATGTAACCAATTTGTACATGTCCTGTACAAGTATTCCTGTAAATTAGTTTTTCCATGTCTTGTACAAGTATTCATGTAACCAGTTTGTCCATGTCCTGTACAAGTATTCATGTAACCAGTTTGTCCATGTCCTGTACAAGTATTTATGTAACCAGTTTGTCCATGTCATGTACAAGTATTCATGTAACCAGTTTGTCCAAGTCCTGTACAAGTATTTCTGTAACCATTTTGTCCATGTCCTGAACAAGTATTTATGGAACCAGTTTGTCCATGTCCTGTACAAGTATTCATGTAACCAGTTTGTCCATGTCCTGTACAAGTATTCCTGTAATCAGTTTGTCCATGTCCTGCAAAAGTATTCCGGTAATCAGTTTGTCCATGTCCTGTACAAGTATTCCTGTAATCAGTCTGTCCATGTCATGCACAAGTATTCATGTAACCAGTTTGTCCATGTCCTGTACAAGTATTCCTGTAATCAGTCTGTCCATGTCCTGTACAAGTATTCCTGTAATCAGTTTGTCCATGTCATGCACAAGTATTCATGTAACCAGTTTGTCCATGTCCTGTACAAGTATTCCTGTAATCAGTCTGTCCATGTCCTGTACAAGTATTCCTGTAATCAGTTTGTCCATGTCATGCACAAGTATTCATGTAACCAGTTTGTCCATGTCCTGTACAAGTATTCCTGTAATCAGTTTGTCCATGTCATGTACAAGTATTCATGTAACCAGTTTGTCCAAGTCCTGTACAAGTATTTCTGTAACCATTTTGTTCATGTCCTGTACAAGTATTTATGGAACCAGTTTGTTCATGTCCTGTACAAGTATTTATGGAACCAGTTTGTCCATGTCCTGTACAAGAATTCATGTAATCAGTTTGTCCATGTCATGTACAAGTATTTGTGTAACCAGTTTGTCCATGTCCTGTACAAGTATTCCTTTAATCAGTTTGTCTATGTCCTGTACAAGTATTCAGGTAACCAGTATGTCCATGTCCTGTACAAGTATTCCTGTAATCAGTTTGTCCATGTCCTGTACAAGTATTCCGGTAACCAGTTTGTCCATGTCCTGTACAAGTATTACGGGAACCAGTTTGTCCATGTCCTGTACAAGTATTCCTGTAATCAGTTTGTCCATGTCATAGGTAACAATTTTATCTATGACATGGGTAAGTATTTTTGTAACAAAATCATCCATGACGTGAGTAAGTATTTCTAAAACCAGTTCATTTACGAGGTGTGTGAGTATTTCTGAAACCAGTTAATCCATGACGTGGGTAAGTATTTCTGTAATCAGTTCATCCATAAGGTGGGTAAGTATTTTTGTCACCAGTTTATCCATGACGTGGGTAAGTTTTTCTGTATCCAGTTTATCCATGGCGTGGGTAAGTATTTTTGTAACCAGTTCATCCATGACGTGGGTAAGTATTTATGTAACCAGTTCATCCATGACGTAGCTAAGTATTTTGGTAACCAGTTACTCGATTTAGAAAAAAAAGCAGGGAAATAACTTATTAAAAATATAGTCAACAAGGGGAGATAGACTACTAATCTAAAGTTGATTTTTTAACATGCAATTCATGACGAAGAACGAAATAAGGAAGAATAATACGGTGCTCGTGCATTCATTTATTAGATAACATTGGAAGCAGCGAAGATGTAGTTTTATAGACGAATAATGAGAATACCCTGGACAGATTTTTAAAAAAAAGAGTAATGAAGACGTTTGAAAGACTGCCCACACTAGAAAGAGACAATCTATTATCTTTGGTCTTCTGTTAGAGCGAGAAATCTGGAGTACATGGTGACAGCAGGAAAGTTGGAGGGGAGGAGAGGCAGAGGGCGACCGACAGAACAGATGCTGGACAGTTTTACATCATGGCATGGAAGATTATCTGTGTCAGAGTTGATTGAAAGTACACGAGACAGAAGTTTGTGGATAGACACGACTACCAACGCCACACGGCATGGACTTTAAAAAGAAGATTGAAATTATGTACTGTAGTCCCGTTCCAGAACCTGAGTGTTGCGTGTGCATCCGTTTTACAGATCTAACTCATATGTATGCAGACTGTTGGTCCCTTGCCGCTCAGGCAGATGCACTCTGACTTCGAAGGAAGCTCTCAGTAAGGCAACTCTAATGACATGCTTCTTGGTAGGCAGTGGGTCGATTCTTGTTTTCCCCATGATAGGGCCCTGGGATCCTCATCCTTGAAGTGTCTGTCCTAAGGATAACAATCCTGGACGGAAACGACGAGAGAGAGAGAGAGAGAGGGAGTATCTTCTTCTTCATCTTCGCGTTCATCGGTAGTGAACTCCAGCAGAAAATTCTGGTTGTTCGTCCACCTATGGAATTTAGTCTTGCTCCATAACTTGAGTGTTGCGTACACATCCGTTGTTCAGATGTGACTTACTTTTTTCGTTACGTAAACAATTTGTGTATATATATTTTTTTTTTTATTTTATATTTTCACTTTTCCGCCTCTGGGACTGTAGCCTTAAAGATACAACCAGTGTCTCAAAGAGCCACTATTCGGATGTGAAAGCAACAACGGCAAATCCCGAAACCCTATTCAACCGTGGCCATATCGTTAACTTTTTATGGAAATTTAAAGTTCAAGTTAGTTGCATATCCTTTACAGGAAGCTGCAAAACCAACCCCAGCATTTTGATTGCTATGTGTGGGTTTTCTAGACAAATTTTAGGTACAGTGGTTTGCCATTGCTCTCTCAGCGGTCAGCTCTCGATACTCTGTCGAGACCCACGCAAGACAAGCCGTCCGCAGCTGGGGTCGAAACCGGCACCCCGGCATTACAAAGCTCGTTCACAACGCCCAAGCTACAGTCGTCTAGGTAGACGCAGCCTAAATGGATACCAGGGAAATAGTATGGGTAGTAAAAGAAATTGTTTTAATAAGGATCCCATCACCATTGTAAGGTATACGAAATAGGATTAATAGACATTCCCAGTACGTCTCTGTAGTGAGAAAATGTTCACGAATTAATGTTTAATTTTATATTGCAATAATTACTATTTACATTATACAAGCAGCCGAATCGCTGTGGTCAAAGATGTTTCACCTTACCTCGTCTTACTGACCCCACAGGAAGTGACCTCTGAAGAGCTGTCAGGCCCACAGCAGAAGATCCTAAGCCATCTGCAGCTTCGGAAAACACAGGAAGAGCAACAAACGATTTCCAACAGAAACGCCAGAAACCACCACACAGACACAAAGATGATGTCCAAAATATCGTCATCAGAAACGAAAAGATCCTATAATTTTGTTGAGCATGTTGCCGAAGTCCACGAATCTCCACAGGAATCTGACAGCGATGGGGATCTGGATTTATCAGACCCCAGCGCTGAAGATTCCCAAAGAGGTTCCCCAGATGACCCTTCTCGGAATGATGCTAATACCTCCCAAGCTCTGAAAGATACCAGCCGAAGATCGCTGCATCGGAGTCGTCTGATAGAAACATCCAGGCTGAGATCTAAATCAAAATCAAAGGGCATCGACAATTCTGACGACGTCAATGATAGCGAGCAGATTCACAACACGAATCAGACTTCTTCTGGTGGACTAGTTCATGAAGCTACAACAACCGTGTTTGGAAATAATTCTTCTCTTTACCGGGATCGCGAATCTAGTGATTCTACACCAAAACAAACATCAGCGTTTTTGCACCTATCCATGAAACCACGCCCACGAAAAGACAAGTCGCCGTTTAGCCAAATGTGGCGCCATTTTAAACAGAACGGAAACAGTTCTTCTGCTAATGGTGTTTTGGGAAATCCAGACGGAAATTTAACTATCAATGGTCAGATAATTTCATCAAAGACTCAT